CTGGGAGAAGGCTTGAAAGAAGGGGTGGGCATGAGGAAGGCTGGGATGGAGCAAGTCATGTGAAAGGGCACAGGGGCATGAGAGGAATGGGGGCAGAGGGTGGTGAGGGGTGGGCATCAGGGAAAAATGGAGCAAAGGAGGCAGAAGAAGTGAGGGAAGGTGCAGGTGCCAGAGGATTCTTGGGGTGAAGCAGAAGGGCAGACACCTGCAGGGGAGGGACCAGCACCAGAGGAGAGAGGCAAGGGAAGTGTTAGAAGAAGGGATGAGGAGGGGTAGCTCACATGAGCAGAGTGGGGCTACTGGAGGAGGGGGCACAGGCTAGTGGAGGAGGGCAGGTCGCAGGAGGACTGAGGGCAGTGAGAAGGGCAGGAGTCAGGACAGCAGAGGAGGGTGAGGAGTTGGGGGGCAGCAGGCACCAGGGGAGCTGATGGAGCAAGGGGAGACATGGCAGCAGAGAGAAAAGGTAAAGGTTTAAAAATATTTATTAACAACTTGGTATGCTGCCCACGGCCAGTTTGTTTGTGCCCCGCGGAGCGGTTTGGATTTATGTGGGGATCAACACGTGGCTGGTGAGTGGGAGCCAAAACAAAAAAGTAGTCAGTTTAATGATCTTCTGTTGATGTGTTTTAGTAGTTAAATTCTTGGACTGTCATTGCTCATGAAAAGTGCTGTCACGTGTGTAGAAATGGGGTAAATATTGCATTTTATTAATATCAGCAGAACTGACTTAAATGGGGCCTGTGTGTTATGTAGTCTTGCCTTAATCTTTGTATTCATGCCTATCAGTGTGAGAGAAGCTATTTGTATATATTTGCTTGCATATGCAACCACACTTAAGTTGAGGCCCTCAGCATGTTCTGTAAGTATCAGTGTGGCTCCCTGGACTTCCAAAGTTGAGTTGCCCTAGCTCATCCCTGACAGGTGTCTGTCTAACCTGGTCTTAAATATCTCCAGTGATGGAGATTCCAAAATCTCCCTAGGCAATTTATTCCAATGTTTAACCATTCTGACAGGCAGGAAGTTTTTCCTAATATCCAACCTAAACCTCCCTTGCTGCAATTTAAGCCCATTGCTTCTCATCCTAATCTCAGGGGCCAAGCAGCACAATTTTTCTTCCTCTTCCTAGTGATACTCTTTTAGATACTTGAAAGCTGCTCTCATGTCCCTTTTCAGTCTTCTCTTTTCCAAGGTAAACAAGGCCAATTTCTTCAGCCTTGCCTCATATCTCATGTTCTCTAAACCTTTCATCATTTGTGTTGATCTTCTCTGGACTTTCTCCAGTTTCTCTACATTTCCTGAAATGTGGCGCCCAGAACTGGACATGATACTCCAGCTGGGGCCTGATGTAGATGGCTCATTCCCTGCCTACAGGACATGAGACTGGGTGGGTTAATTTCCAATCCTTCCTCCTGTTTATTCGTTTCCTAAGCCAGGAGGGCACAGTAATTCTGATGGGGATTGGAGAGGGGATGGAAGCCAGATCCAAGATCAATGAGCCCTGGGAAGTGGGCCCATTGAAGGGAGACTGCACCTGTGGATGCCTTGGGAGTCAGCAGCAAGGGCCTGCTTTGGGAAGCCCCCTTTGGAGGTGAATGTGGCAGCATTGAGACACCACCCAGAAGCTAGCACCACAGACACTAACTGCAGATTCATGGGACGGCTCTCTCAGATCTTTCACACGCATAAGATGATAGATCTGCAGGAGGGGGGGGGGCAGTGATGTAGTGAGGGGGCCGGAAGGGTCAGTTGCCCCTGGAAGAAAAATAATATAAAATGGATCAAAATTATAGGTGCTTTGTGAATATGCTGACTTGAGAGTGGAAAGATTTCATATTATCATATATGATTCCTGGTAACCCATCTCAAATATGAAAAACTAGGTTGATACCTGTTCATAACAGGAGCTGTTGAATTCGGGTCATCATTTGCAGTATCTCATTAGGTTGTTTAGTGGAGAAGTTGTTGTTGGGTTTTTTTTTATTCATACTGTGGGCAAAGCATGGGCTCACAAGAATTCCTCCATTGTTTTACCATGAGTCTCAAAACATTTGGTGTTTTTCTAAAGGCCTGGAGTCAGTTGATTATGTAGGAATCTCAGCTTTCATTTAAAAAAAAGTTCTTTATACTTCTGGGCCTTACAGCTAAGGAGGAAAGCTTTAAAACATGAACCCTAAATACTCAAACAAAAGGCCAGTAAAAATCCAACATGTTTTATTTTTAAAATATCTTATGATTTGTAGACCATTCTCGTCCCTTGTGATTTGTGGGTTGGCAATACTGCTCTTTGGTGAATTTAGAGAGAGGTCTCTCCCTTCAGTTTCCCTTTCCACCCTCCTTTTTTGTCACAGGTCATCAGAGAATCAGAGAGACAATGGAGAGTAGGGTGAGTCCATGACTATGGTTAATGACTGGTCAGGGTGACTAACTATTATCAGCCAGAGGTCTGAATGAGCTATCTACTGCCATCTGTTAATCAACTGTAGGAAAAGGCTTCACAAGCAGACCTTATTTATATAGACAACCTATTTTGCCACAGAGATCAGTAGACACTTGCTGTGTCAAGGTGATCAATTTTGGCTCTTTTGGGTTGAAATTCACTTAAGACTTGGAGCTGGGAGAATGAAATGTTGTTATCCATATTGTATGATTAAAAGACCTGAACTGAATATGACCGGGCTTAGGGTCTACCATAACTTGAACACTAAGCAGAGGATAGTGAGTCACATCTAACTGAAAGTCAGAAAAGATGGAAACAGCTTTTATTTCTGGTGGTGTAGAGTCTATTTGGGAGTCTAATTCACCAAAGCAGAAGTGTTCAAGAGGATTTGATAGAACCAGAAAAATAAAAAAAATCTGTCCTTCCTCTTACACGGTCTGATAACTGCACCAAGGCTTGTGTGACTGAACTAAATGTGGCAAGCTAAAACCACTTGTGCACAGGGATACAGGAAGGACAAACAAATCCTCCCACAATACACTATACACCAATTGCTAGAATAGCTGCAAGTGGCAAAGTACCAAGAATCCTGGAATATACTCCAATAATTCTAGTACTAAACACAGAGCTCCAGAGTCAGAATAAATGTTGATATACTGGGGAGTGTGAGTATGTCTAGACTACAAGCCTTTTTTGAAAGAGAGTGCCTAGACTACATTCAGTACTTTTGAAAAAGCAAACTTTTTCGAAAGAGAGCAGCCCAGCAAGTCTGGACGCTTTCTTTCGAAAAAGCACAGTTTGCACCACTCATCCTCCCTCAGTTCTAAAATCTGATTTGTCTATTTTATATGTATTCACTTTTTTTGATTGTATCCCTTTGGTATGTATGGTCATGCCAATTTTATCTCAGACAAGGATCTGAGGAAGTGGGTCTGGCTTCAGCCCCAAATTTGGTTAGACCCTGAGCATGTGGGCATGACTCACCAGGCAAAGACCTGAGGAAGAATTCCCTGTAATAACTCAGTAACTAGAGTGGAAGGTCGATTTAAGATTAGCAATTTGTGCTATGGAATTACGTTGCTAGAGTTGATGTATCTTAAATCACCATGCATACAGTGGGAGGTCGACGGGAGCAAATGTCCCCATTGGCTTTCAATACTCGTTGCGAGGAGCAGGAGTACCAGCAACAATGGGAGCACCTTCTGAGTTTGATTTAGCAGGTCTTCACTAGACCCAATAAATCAAATCGCAGAAGATTAACTGCAGTACAGAAGATTGACTGCAGCAGCGTCAATCTTCCACGTAGTGTAGATAGGCCTCAGAGCTTCCCCATCTCATGTGTCCAGAAGTTGGGGATCTTTGCTACCTGCAGTCACTGATCGTCCGGCCACATGCTATTGTAGGTAACCCCATCATACCATTCTTTCAAGGTCATCAAGCTCAGTTTTGAAGTCAGGTGGGTGTGGGGTCTTTTTAATTTTTTTTTGCTCAACAACAAAAAAAAAATCCTGGTTGGGGGGTGGTTCGAATTGGGCCCCGCACTTCCTAAAGCCGGCCCTGCGTACCTGTGCCGCTATAGTGCAGACACACCCTAGCATGAGCAAGGATCCATTGAGACAGCAGAAAAGCGTAGCTCCCACAAAGCTAGTTACTTCAGCAGCAAGACCACCTGCCAGTGAACTGCTTGCACATGAAAATTCCCAGCATGTTACAGATCAGCACACGTTACCAAAATAATAGGTCTTTAACTACCTCAGCTCTCTCAATTTTACTGTTATAGCTGCAACTTTGGGGTGCCTCGTGGCCCGCTCAATGATCACCACAGTACAAGGGTAGTATGCTCTGGCCCATAATTACAATACCATCAGCAAGAATGGACTGTGTGACCAGTAACAATCTCAATTCTCTTTCAATGAATTTCAATAGGGTGCACTGAATAGAGTAAAACTGTTGCTGTCTGCATTAAGATCCATTTTGTGTAAGTGGGCTATTCACTGCTTTAATGCAATCTGGCATGCAACAGAGAGAAACTTGGCACAGGATTTTTTGCAGAGAATTTCAGTTCCTTTCAAAGGACTATTAATTTATCAAATAGTAATTCAAGTGAATTTCAACATGCCATTAAACAATGTTAAAGCTCCCCTTTTAGCCACCTGAGCCACAAAACTACAGTGATTACAAAAATATAAATACACAAGTAGTGTTCCTAACATTAATTAACAGATGTGTTGTGAGCAAGACACGAGAAGTCATTCTTCTGCTCTACTCTGCACTGGTTAGGCCTCAGTTGGAGTATTGTGTCCAGTTCTGGGTATCACATTTCAAGAAAGATGTGGAGAAATTGGAGACGGTCCAGAGAAAAGCAACAAGAATGATTAAAGGTCTAGGGAACATAATCTATGAAGGAAGACTGAAAGAATTTGGCTTGTTTAGTTAAAAAGAGAAGATTGAGAGGGGACAGGATAGTGATTTTCAGGTATCTAAAAGAGTGTCACAAGGAGGCGGGAGAAAAATTGCTCTGCCTGGCCTCTGAGGATAGAACAAGAAGCAATGGGCTCAAACTGCAGCAAGGGAGGTTTAAGTTGGACATTAGGAAAAAGTTCCTAACTGTCAGGGTGGTTAAACATTGGAATAAATTGCCCAGGGAGGTTGTGGAATCTCCATCTTTGGAGATATTTAAGAGTAGGTTAGATAAATGCCTATCAGGGATGGTCTAGACCAGTGGTTCCCAAACCTTTCGGCATCACGCCCCCTTTTTGATTTTTGAAAAACCCTCACCCCCCCCAAAGAAAGTAGCAGCAAAACTTGTTTAAAAAAAAAAAAAAAAAAAAAAAGGAACTGACAGGGCAGCAAAACTTGATGGGGGGAGGAGGCTGGGTCGTCTCATGTCCCCCCCATGGAATTTCTTAATGCCCCCCAGTTTGGGAACCCATGGTCTAGACAGTACTTGGTCCTGCCATGAGGGCAGAGGACTGGACTCGATGACCTCTTAAGGTCCCTTCCAGTCCTAGAATTCTATGATAATACACCAATACACTGGGTTCTTTCCCCAAATTTTGTTAATCTTAATCTCTACACAACTGGCTTCTACAGATTAAAAAATCAGAGATAAGTAGAGTTTATGAATAAAAGCCTCAATGTGGTGGCTTGACTGGGGATTTTCTGAATCAAGGCCCTACAAAAGCACATTTGCAAAATGCTGAACAGTCTTCTATTCATGGAAATTAAATTAGCTTAGCCCCACACGAAGATAACTACACACTGCAGCACTGACACCTCAGTATTTTGGAGTACTGTGTGAAAAGGCAAACTAATCAGCACCCCCCCACACACACACAACCACACACTATTTTTTTTCTTACCCGATCTGTACTTGCTGCGCAAACAAAACATTCTGAATTCATCCGCTGAATTCTTCATCAAAAATTCCTAATCAATATATAAATAAATAAAAATCAGTATTGTACCAGATACACTGGATCTTCTCTGTGTAATTTTACACTTTCTTTTTGGTGTGATTTGTATGTCTGCCTTTTGTGTTCATTTTGGGAAGGATTAATAAATACATTTGTGATTATCCAGTTTTGCAATTATAATTCACCTTTCAATTTTATTTTAAAGTTTATTTGTGACAAAATTAAACTACACAATATCAGATTGATGCCAACTGTTGGTGCAAAGCAACGATGGGCAACCTAGGCTAGTGAGTGGGCTGCATGAGCGGCCCTCCATCTCAATGGACCGCAAGATTGTCGTAAGATGATAGTTTCCCCAAGATAGGACAGTTTTGCTAACTACACTTACATACCTAGAAGCGGATTCAACCATAAGCGGGGTAAGCGTATTCAACCATAGCAGGGCTTTGATTGGATGTGGAGGGAATGCATGGCTCTCACAGTCAATGTTATGTGCAATCAGCACACACCTCACTTCCCATGCCCTTGCTTTAGGTGTGTGTCACTTTAGCAATACCAGTAGGGGGAAAAAAATGTGTGGAAGGAAAACTAACAGAATCTGGCAACCCTGCTCATGGTCAATGGTAAACAAAATCTCTCTTGGGCTGCATGCAGAATCCCATTAGACCGCAGGTTACCCCCCACAGAAGTAATTAATTGAAAGATGGACTCTGAAAATTAAATATTTATAATGACGATCATCCCACACAAACACACAGGATAAAGGACAAAGAGAAAAATAAACCTGAAACGTTCTGCTGAGATTCAGAGACAATAGTAATGGCAAGGGAGAAGTAGGAATAAGAGTAGGAATAAGAGATCCTTCGGAAAAGGGCTTTTTTCCGGAGGATCGGGCCGGATCGGGGCCAGTGTAGACGCTCTTTTCCGGCTTTTCTAAAAGCTGGAAAAAAGCGGCGGACATTTTTATTTAAATGCCGCGGGGGATATTTAAATCCCCCGCGGATTTCCCTATTACTATCTGAAAAATTAGCATGCCCCTTCCGGAAAAGGGGCCAATGTAGACGAGCCCGATTAGTTTAATTTAGGTTATAATTAGAGGAATAGAATATGTCGGAATAGAAGGAAAATTGGGACTCTATGGCAGTTAACTGCTCCTCTACTCCCCTGATTTATCCATAATGATGTATCAAAATCTTACTTGTCCAGAGGGTAGGTCCCTCATTTTGAATTAATGTTAAGGTTGCTTTAAAACTTCACTCTTGTAATAAAAGAATTTGACAGCGTATTCTAAAGAACCATTTCAAATCATGATGGTTTATTTAAAAATGGTCAACCTCTTGACAACCTTGTCTACTGCTCAGCACAAAGAGTGGCAGGTAACAGTGAATGCTACATTCACAATCTTTTAAATCAGCAGGTGAGAGGTAGTAAATTGGTAGCATCCAAGTGCTGCTGAACTTTAGCATTTCAATGAGAACTTAGTACAAGTATGAAAAGATGGGAAAGTAAAGAAATGCACATAGAAATTTAGCTTCTGTTTCAATATTAAAGCAAGTGGCACAGTGGAGGTAGCAAAACTTTGAGCATATATAGCATCTAGAAGGAAAATAGAAATAATTGGGGCAACTAAGGCTAAATTAAATTAAGAATCAGATTGGGATATGAAATCTTTCTAAACCCTTTATAGAACTCAGTTAATTCAAAATATCTGAAGACATTGTGCTAGTTTGTGGCAGAAGAGTATTATGCCTTAGGAAGGAAATAAATGAATCAAAACTCTGAGTTGGGGCAAGGACCATACAATACATCTGAATTGGAAAAGGATGGATGGATATTTGTTTTTAAATCTATGTTTTGGGGAGAAACAGGTTGTCCTTCAAAACAGGATGTGTGGGAAATAGGGATGTTAAATTGTGTTTAATCAGCTAATCGAGTAGTCGATTGAATTTCCATAGACTACTCAATTAGTCAATAAGGGGGGGAAACTGTAGAGCCGCAGTGGATGGACTGGGTGTGAGCTGGGAATCAGCTGTCCCAGCTCACGCCCAGTCCCCCCACTAGCCTCTGCCTCCCCTGCTCCCCCACAGAGACAGTGCTGGGGTGGGAAAACCAGCTTTTAAATCAGCTTCCCCCCTCCCAAGCACCAGCTCCTGCTCCCCCCTTGCTGCCTCTGTCAGAGGGAGGAGTGACTAGTTGAGTTACTACTCAACAAATATATGCTTATTGGGTAGTTGACTAGTCGCTTACTTCCCTAGTGGGAAAACTGAAAGTATTCACACAAAACCAGTTTTGGGGGAAGAATATGAATAGCTATTTTAGCAGGCCAGAAGGTGTGTGCATGTGAAACACTTCAGAAAAGCACAGTTTGATCAAGGGCATCCAATATGGCTGCAGGAAAGGAGAAAGGACAGCTGTGCCTCGTCGACTATCTGCAGTGTGTTCAGTATATTGCTGGTATGGAGGCAAAGGGAAGGCAGTAAAGCAGGCAGCAACATTCTAGTCTTGAATTTTTCACAACACATGAAAAGAAGTCCCATGTGGGGTTTAAATTTCAAGATGCTGAATGACTAAAGGGGAGGAAGTTTGGTTTACTGCTCTGAAAATTACCTATGGGGCAGGATTACATTCATTAATCCTGGCTAAATCTATTTATATTTAGACTAAAGAAAAATGACCCATGAGGTACTGCAGGGAGGAGTGCTCAGTCAGCAGTTATTTAGTTTTAAATGTATCTGACTTGCCTGGATGTAGAAGTTATTTGCGATGACAAAGTTCTCCTCACCTGTGCAAGAACATTCTCTCAGCACATAACATTCCATTAGAAATGCAACTGAGGAGGACTTCTATTTTTTGAAGTTGTGCATATTGTGGTAACCCTCATTCCTCTAATTCCTCTCCAGCATCTGTCTACACTAGGAAAATTACTGTCAAAATTGTCAGCAATAGATAGCTTTCCTATGGCAGATGAGGCTTAGCTGTATATACAGACAGCATCAGGAGAATTAAGAATAAAGCAGCTCACATTGCACTCTGATTTTCAAAGGATTATAATTAGTTTTCCAGGAGGGCAGAGAAAGAGGAATGAATGTGCTGAGACAGTCTTTTAATCCTTGTCTACATGAGGTAAATTACCCATTGCTGACAACGGATGTCAGAAGTGAGTGCAGCTGAACTGATGCTCAACACAGCTTAATTGTAATCAAGGACAAACTGTTTTCCACACTAAGGATGTTAAAATGCGATTATCTGGCTAATCGGATAGTCGATACAGTTTGTACCGACTATACGATTAGTCGATAAGGGCTGCTCTGCAGAGCCGCAGCGGGGGTAACTCAAGGAGCCAACTCAAGCCAAGACTGAGCCGTCCTGGCTCGTGCTGGCTCCGGAGTTACCTGCGTGGTAGCTCTGCACTGTAAATGTAGTAAAAGCTGCTGGGCTCTTCATACATTTAAAACGCACAGGTGCAGCCATCAGTATGAGCCAGGACTGCTTGGTCCCTGATCATGCTGGGTCCAGCAGTTCA